GCCTCCCAAGTAGCTGGGACCACAGGCGCCCGCCACAACGCCCGGCCACTTTTTGGTTGCCGCCGTCACCGTTGTTTTGGCGGGTCCGGGCTGGGGACTCGAACCCGCCACCCTAGGTGTACGTGGCTGGCGCCTTAGCCGGTTGAGCCATAGGCGCCGAGCCTGTATTTTGTCTTCTGACTGATCTGGCTTCAGTGGGGAGGGGATGTAGAGAAGCACCTCAGGCCCGAGGAAATGCTCTAACACTGGAAATGGAAGCGGTTGGGCCTGCCAAGGAAGAGACGTGGGGATTTCTTTGCCTCCGAGTACTTCACCAGTTGGTTTGGTGTCGGGCCATTCCTGAAGTGCTCCATGAGGTGCTCCTCTAACTGCCAAGGACTGGGGCAGAGGTCAGTTAGAGGCAGGCCTTTGGAACAGAGGTTCCCCAGCAAGAGAGTTCAGGTGAGGGGAGAGACAGGGGATAGTCAGCCAAAGCACAGTCGTGTCCGCATTAGAAAGATGCTCAGGGGTTGGCATTTAACCCAGAGGTGGCTTTGTGGGCAGAAGCTTGAAGAGGAGACCTCAGAAGACATTAGGCTGGTGTTTTGCCCAAGAGCTTTGGAGGCGGGGAATGGAAAGGGATTCTGCTGGCCAGCTTTCCTCACAGTTGGTGACTCGCCCTGGTCATCTCCGTGTGGTGCCCTCTTGGACCTATGTACAATGCCGTTGTAGGGACGTTTGTGAGCAGTCTGCCTTTTGGGCTCCTGGGTGTTTGGGCTGCCCCATGTTTCTTGCAGGGAACAGTGGTGTAGACCAGTCTCTGGAGTTAGAGAACACTGGGTTCTCATCTTGACCCACCATTTAGAAGCTCTCTGGTGGCCTTAGGCAAAGAGACTATATATCCTTGAGCCTCTGGTGTTCTCATCTGTAAATTGGGAATCACATTCATCTCAGGTGGTTGAAAGGAGTAAAAAACTCCTCATGGGGAGGCACTATGTTTATCCCTACTGAATTATCTGGCACATAGTAGGCACTCAACAAATGCTTATGGAATAGGTACTGTATGCCAAGAGTCAAACACAGGCCCATTACATAGTAGGCACTTAACAAGCAGTTATCGTGGTCATTGTCTGAATGTGCACACGGCCTTCTGGGCCTCCCGGTGTTATTCCGAGCCACGTGCCTTCCTGCTAGCCCAGCCTTCCCCACCTTCTTCACCTCCCCTTAGTCCCCCTGTTCCTATTTACTCCTCTGAAAGAATTCTCTGGCTGTCTGGTCTGGTCATTCTCTGCCCCTGCTGTCAGTGACACTAGGTGCTTCTCTGTGTTCCACCCTCATGCATCACTCAGTCAGGGCCACCTTCTCTGAGACTAGCCCCTCTAGGAAGGTTCTTTCTTTTTCTATCTTAACTTACTGCTTAGCCAGGAAGCTTCTGTCTCTTGCCTGAGTCTGAGGTGGCAACCAGAGCACTGGTCTCTGGCTCTGAGGCCCCGTAACCTTGGATCGGGGGGGTGCTGGGCATGTTGCTGCTTCTCCCCTCTGGTACTTCAGGTAGAAGCCTAGTGAGACTGACAGGATGGGGTGGGGCGGGGCTGCCGAGGAAAATAGGATTTCAAGTTTTCTCTCTATTAATCTCTGTCCCCATCTCCTCTCTTGCAGTTCGCCTCCATGACAGTATTTCTGAAGAAGGGTTTCACTACCTCGTGTTTGACCTGTAAGTGCCATTTTCCAAGGGTGTGGGGGCCTTTTCCTCCAGCTGCCTCAAGATGAAGGCTTGGGAAAAGGTCTAAACAGGGTCTCCAGCCTCTGCCTAGGTCCCTCGACTTTGCCCAAGGGTCCTTTGATTGTGAACTTCCTCTGGTGATGGGGCAGGTTGCTGGCACAGAGCCCCTGAGGGGGTCTTACTGCTCACCCAGGGCTCTAAATCCCAGGATAGCATTGTTCTCACATTTCTGATCAGCAGCACACCTCCCATAGATGCCTTTTTCTTGTTTTTCGTGTGTTATCCTTAGTGGAGAAATAAAATACAGCTAGCTCTTTGCATGACCTTAAACATTCTGGGAAATTGAAGGTAGCTTTTATTAGTCATAACCCAGGCTCCATTTGGTCTCTTCTCCACTTTGGCTGTGTTTTAATTTCTTAAAGTGGCTCTTCACCTCCTGGAAACTCCTTTCCAGTATTTTCAGGGTTGGGTCTCTCTGTTATTGGTCTCATTATTCTTCAGCTTCAGTAGTAAGTCTGTCCTTGGGCAGCTTATATTTTAGTATGCATACTGGTCTCAAAGTAAGGACTTTTTGGGTAGATTGGCTGTTTTCTTTTAGATCCCCATACTTTCATCTCTGCTTGAATGCTAGCTCATCTGTAGGTTATAGAAACAGAAACGTCCAGAGGAAAGAGAGAATCCATGATACCTCAAGAAGTCTTCTGTCAGCTGGGCACGGTGGCTCACCCCTGTAATCCTAGTTCTCTGGGAAGCCAAGGCAGGTGGATCACTTGAGTTCATGAGTTCGAGACCAGCCTGAGCAAGAGCAAGACCCTGTCTCTAAAAATAGCCGAATGTTGTGGTAGGCGCCTGTAGTCCCAGCTACTCGGGAAGCTGAGGCAGGAGGATTACTTGAGCCCAAAAGTTTGAGGTTGCTATGAACCGGGATGCCAGGGCACACTCCTGAGGGCAACAAAGTGATTCTCTGTCTTTTTTTTTTTTTTTTTTT